GGAGTTGTGCTGCCACGAATACCAAGGATTGCTGGCAGCCACCAGAAACTAGAAGAGGCAAAGAAGGCTCTTCCCTTACAGCCTTCAGAGAGAGCACAGTCCTGCTGGCCCCTTGACTTTGGACTCCAGCTCCCAGAATCATGAAAGGACAAACTTCTGTTGTTTCAAGCCACTCAGTTTGTGGTAATTAGTAGCTCCAGGAAACCAAAGCACTCGTCTCAGTCACGAAGAAATAGATGGAGGAAGAGGAAAGTGTGTTAGCCTCAGACACCATGAAGAACAAAGCTGGAAAGTCCTGAGGAATAGATGTGTTCGGCTCTCTTTTCTTGGCCAGGAGAGGGACAGAGGCCCCAAGGTCACTTTAGCAAGCAAGCATGTGCTGTCAGTCTGGTGTTAGATCATGCTACACTTGTGCACTTGGCTGTGTGAACAGTGAAAGGGAACTATCCAGTTGCCTAACAATCTGACTTCAAATTCAGCCAAGTATCCTGGGCACATTTGGGGAATAAAAGACAAGAGAAAAATTAGTTTCATGTGGGAGGCTGAACAGACTGTGCCTAATAACTTGAGACAATTAGAGAATCAGCAAGGAGAGAGAAAGGTGCACTGTGAACCAGACAGGGTAGAAACAGCTGCCTGGGGGGAAGTGATAATAATAGTAACAATAATATCAATAATCTCTTACATTTGTTAGAGCTTTGTAGTTGACCAAGCACTTCAAGTATTAGCTATTTGATCTTTAAATGGCCTGTGAGGAAGGCTCAGTCTTCAGGTCACCATTTTACTAATGAGGAAGTTGGTGCTCATAGAGGTGAAACAGTTGCCCAAGGTCACTTGTCCCTGCTAGTCCTCCAGTCTTTTTCTCATTTCTGTCCATTGTTTTTCCCATAAGCTGGTCAGAGCCACCTTGGGTTCAGCCCAGCTCCCTCTCTGGCACATATCCATTCTTGGTGGCCCACGGCCATGTATCCTCTCCTCCTGGTATCCAGCATGCTGCACAAAGCAGGGACTTGATGTACAATGGTAGAGGCTGGGTGATTAATTGAGGTGAGGGCAGGTGGAGCAAGAGGTTCCAGGTCTTGTGCTTGGCACAGACTTTGGGTTTGTCCTCACCAGTGTGTGTTACAAAGCAGAGCTGACACTGGCATCACCCTCAACTGAGTCTCTGTGTGTCAGAAGGTAGTCATGGAAACTCACTCCCTTTCTGAGCTGATGAGGAGAGAATTAGGTAGAAAGGAGGAATCAAATTAATTGCCTGTCATCCCCTTGCTGCTCTCTGTGTGTTGATTCAAATTAAGCTTTTTCAGTTTTCTGATGTCAGCAGATATCAGACATTCAGAGCACAGGCCTGGGAGTCAGGATCTCCAAGAAAGAGCCCGTTCTTAGCGAATGCATTAACCTTTCTGCCTCTTTAGTTCTGGCCTGAGCATTCAGGAAAACAAATCTTTTTGTCTGACCTCCCTTGATTTCTGACCTAAACTCCCTTGATTTCTGAACTAAAAACTCTCTTAACTTTGGCCATCTTTGACTGTACAGCCACCAAACTAGTCATTCCTCTTCTTGTAGAGAAAAGAGCAAAAATTCAAATTGAATTCTGCTTTTATTGAAATTCATCATAATTCAGAGAGAAGCCGTTAGATTAGTCAGCGGTAAATGTGCTGTGATGTGCGTTGCCCATGTGGAGGAAAGCAGAGGCAGAGTCTTGAGAGTTTCTGTGAGAGATGTCACCACCAGCTCAGCAGCCATTTCTGCAGAGCTGGAGGGTGTTGCCAACAATGAGGCCCTTTCCTGCCTTATCTCTAGGGTCTCTTCTCTATAGCCAGATGTAATTATTTGAGGTACCTTGCATGTTCCTTGCTTTTTCTCTTATTTTTTCAGAGGTTTTCTCTGTTGGGAACACTCTTTCTGCTTTTTAATTATGTCTCAACCCTGGCATGTCTGCAAAGCCTTCTCAAGGTTGAATATGGGATCTCCAGACACCATGAATTCCCTTTAAAATAGGTGACAAGCAGGTCATTACTGTGCACAGGCATTCTACCTCCCCACTGGACCACAAGCTGCTGAAAACAAGAATTCTGGCTTCCTTGCTCCTATTTCCCAGCATCAAGCACCATGTTTAGCACATAGAAAGTAACCAATCAATATTTATTGAATAAGGGGTTGATTTAGTAAATGAGTAATGAATGGAATTTTTTTAGGATGGTGTTGTAGAAGAAGAAAATATTTACTTCAGATCTGAAGTTGAATGTTGGTTGTCATCTGTTTGGATATCCACACTGTTTACATTTCACCCAAACAGTATGGACTGCTCTTAGGTGTCTTTGGACTCCAGGCCTGGTTTGCCCCAAGAACTCTGCTCAACCTTATTCAGGCCAGCATCTCTCCTGGGATATTTGATCAAACTGGTTCTGGAAGTAGCGAGCTCAAGGGTAGAGTGTGCCAATTCATGTTGGGAATGAAGAGGTGGAGGAGGTAGAATGCAGAACCTCAGGATAAAGAGGCTGAAGTGAGTGCTTGGAAGATGTGTTTGGGATTCCCCTAGGAGGCTCTTCCTGGCTCAGAAGGAAATTCTGGAAAGGAGATGTTTCCTAATAGATACTATGGAGGGGGAAAGTGCCTCAGTTTAATGATGGAGATGACAGTGGGACTTTGTCCTTGTATCTGTATGGAGTTTATGATTTTTATGGGTCTCACAGGCAGTGTGGTAAAGTAGAGAGAGTACTGAACTAGGATTTAGCAGATTCGAGTACTTGTCTGTCATTAACCAATGGTGGGACAACAATTCTGGGTCTCAGTTTCCTTTTCTGTGAATGAAGGAGAGGATAGAACCAATACTCCCTCAGGTCTGTTCCATGATTCTGCAAAGACAGATTATGAATGTCCCATGTGACTGGTTCAGAGGTTGAACATGAAAGGAGGTGGGTGGGGCAGGATAAGACTCTCCTGGGGAGGACATGGAAGTAACCTAGATGCCCATCAGCAGACGAATGGATAAGGAAGCTGTGGTACATATACACCATGGAATATTACTCAGCCATTAAAAAGAAAAAAAAAAAAGACTCCTGGGGATCTTTGTTCCATCTTTTTCTCCCCACCCCTTTACCACTCTCAGTGGTTAATTGCATGAGCTTAGAAATCAGGCAGATGGACCCTTGTATCCTGGTTCTGCCACTTACTGACTGTGTGACCTGAGGCAAACCTCTTCCCTCCCTGTGCCCCAGTTTCCTCATGTACAAAATGATGTTTATCTTTCTAAAGTTATCATTAATAGTGGGATGACCTGATGTAAATAAATGGTACAAAATATTTGCTATCACTGTTCTTCACAAATATTTTTGAGTACTGATGCTATTTATATTTCCCCTTTTAGGACTCTGATTTTGATATGAAATTCTATGATCTTTCACCCCACTGTCCCACCTTTGTTGCTGTTCGTTTTGCATAGAAAAACTTAGGACTCACGTACTTTGACTTCTTCTGATATTTAATTGTCTCAGTCCCTAGTTCTACTTGTTCCATAAACCTATTGTGCCAGATGGCATCAGGTACAAGAACTAGTGGGCAGACAGCGTTGTTATGGACAATAATATTTTACAATATTGGCAATTAAAGCATTCAGGAGTAACAGTAACTGATTCACTGGAGTGGGGGGGGTGTATATTTCCTCTTTATACACACTTAGGGTTAAAGGAATAAGAAGGGGCAAAGGAAGCCTCGGATTCCATATAGAGTTCCTGTGCATTTTGAGGTTTTAACAGCAATGCAGCAAATATCTGTCATGCCCATGCACTAACAGGTCTTAGCAGTATATTTATTGAAGCTCAGGATGATAATGTTTCATAAATTATCCACAGATTTTATTGATCCTGTAATCAATAAGAAAGAGCTTCTGTAGGTGAAAAGGTAAATGTGAGAATATTCAAGTTTCTTCTAAATGCAATTTTGAATGACATTTACACATTGTTTCTATTATACCTTTAATCTAAATTGTTGGAGGATAATGTTTAGCATCTGCATTAGGACTTTTCAAAGACTGTCCTTATGATGGCTTTGGACAGCTACTTGGTCTCAGTTCTGGGGTCCTCTGGTAGTTTAGGTGAGTCCCTACCATCCTTAGACAAGTGAACAGTCAAACACTGGAGCAGGTGGGGGGCTCCTTGAGGGCAGGAGCTGTATTATTCATTGTCATGTATCCAGAACCTGGGAGATGAATGGTGCCTTGTAGACACTTAATACTCAATGGGTTTCTGGGTCTGAAAGTACTGGATCTCTGTTAAGCAGGAGATGCAGATGTCTGTGTAGGAAAACCTCACACGAGGTTATGAAAAGCACATCTAAAGCATGTTCTGAACCATAAGTTTCAACAGTGATACTATAGAGAGAATTGTCCTTCCTTTGTCATTTCACCTGCATCTTGAATTACTCTGAAGCTGACACTCTGAAAGTAAGGGAATGGAATCAAAGGGGCTTCTTAGCTAGAGCTAAAATACAGAGGTTGTTGTTGTTTAGTCACTCAGTCATATCTGACTCTTTTGTGACCCCATGGACCATAGCGCACCAGGCTTCTCTGTCCCTGGGATTTCCCAGGCAAGAATAATGGAGTGGGCTGCCATTTCCTTCTTCAGGGGATCTTCCTGACCCAGGGGTTGAACCCATGTCTCCTGCTTGGCAGGTGGATTCTTTACCACTGAGCCACCAGGGAAGCCCAAAATACAGGGGTAGCAAGGTTTAAAATGAATCCCAGGTCCCAGTGTGAGACCATGTCTCTCTCAGGGTGAGGAATTTCCCAAACTAAATGTAGCCAGTCAGAGTCTATGGAGAGGTGGAGGCACTGGCCTTGCTGTTATATTTTAGGATGCAGTGAATGAAAGGAATGACCAGAGAGAGTGGGCCCATGAAAGTACAAGGTTAGCCTGACAGTTAATTAGAAATTTGAAGGAAGAGAGACTGGCTGTCTGCAAGATGGTTTACTGGCTGAGATTTCAAGGACCCTTGGCAAGTTGAAAATTATGAGCTCTGTTCATTATTTCCTTCACGTAATGAATCATGCCTCTGATGACAATTGTGTTTGTGTGTGAAATCGTGTTCCATCAGCTTCTCTCTGAATTATTGCTTGTCATTCAGGGGCCCTGAACCACTTCAAGATTGCCAGAGTGAAGTCAGATTTTAGCTGGGGAGGTAGAACATGCTGTTCTAGAGGAAGTAGTTGGTGACATCTGCCACACAGGGACATCCTTGCTCCAGGGATCTCCTTCCTTCCCCATTCAGAAAACACTGCACCATCATTCTGAGCAGGCCTTGGCCAGCAGCACTGTGGCCTGGCAGCTAAAGGTGGGCACAGGGAGTCTTCTCTCCTATCCTCCTTCAGCAGGACAGTATCTTGAGGAAGGCTTTCCGGAACTCCATGTTGAAGGTGGTATAGATCACGGGGTTGAGGGCACTATTCACATAGCCCAGCCATGTGGTGGCACTGTAGAGCTGTGGGGACACGTGGCATGCTCTGCAGTGGGTATTGAGAACATGGGTCAAGAAGAAGGGCAGCCAGCAGACAATGAAGGTCCCTAGGTTGCAAAGGAAAAGAAAAACTGGGTCAGGGATTTGTTTACTTCCTTTGTTGCAGCATGAAAATGAGTCCCAGTTGTCTACTTAATGGCAGTCAGTATGCTGCAAGTTTAATTTTAAAGTTCTAATTTTTATACCAAACCTATGAAACAGGTATGATTAGTCACTTTCTTTTTTTTTAGATGAGAAAGCTAGATGCTTACATCTTTGATTCATCCCAGACTTTTGCTCCTAAATTAGTTTTCTAGTTTGATCTGTAGATAATTCTTCACTAGCCTTGTCTACTTCTCAGTTCAATTCAAATGTTTATTTTATGTCTATCCATGCAAGATATGATTCATGGCACTGATAGGGGAAGACCTTAAAAATGCAGTTGACATAATTAAGGCTGATAAGGAGATTAACATAGGGGTTCCCTGGATATGAGAAGTCCCTAAGATATGACAAGTTTGGGGCTTGTTTCTGACAGTGAACAGGATACAGTTCAGTTCAGTTACTCAGTCATGTCCGACTGTTTGCAACCCCAAGGACTGCAGCACACCAGGCTTCCCTGTCCATCATCAATTCCCAGAGCTTACTCAGACTCATGTCCATTGAGTTGATGATGCCATCCAACCATCTCATCCTCTGTCTTCCTCTTTTCCTCCCACCTTTAGTCTTTCCCAGCATCAAGGTCTTTCCCAATGAGTCAGTTCTGAATTTCCATCAGCACTAAGATATATTCACAAACTCTTTACATTTTAAACATTTATAAATATTAACATTTACAAGTATTAAAGTTGTTGGATTTCCAATTTCTGTTAAACATGGTTACCTGAAACTTCAATACTTTGGCCACCTGATGTGAAGAACTGACTCACTGGTCCAGTATACGGTTACCTTAACTAACTCTATATGGCATCTGCAACTTATCAATTTTTAATTTCTTTATTTAAATAAAGTTTGCATTTTTCTACTATAAAAACTAGTTCCAGTTTTATACATTATGGAAAACTTGGTAAATATGGAAAAGCAAAAAAAAGTGAAATAATCAGCCACTATACAATCACTTTGGACATATGAGTGAATTAATTTTCAGTCTTTTTTCTCTATATTTAATCTAGATGTTATAATCTAGATGTCATATATCATATGACAGTAGTCTCTTTGCATCCTCATTTTCCCCCCTCAATATTTTAAAATAGGTAAGCATTTAGTAATATCCAATATGTGCCAGATGGTTTTATTGAGTTGTTGTCTTATTTATTATTTGGTTTATCCATTATAATTCCAAGAGATAGAAGCAAAGCACAGCTCAATTAGTGACTTGTTTGGTTTCATAAATTTCAGACTAAGTGTTTTGAATTTCCATCAGCATTAAGATGTATTCACAAACTCTGTACATTCTAAACATTTATAAATATTAACATTTACAAGTATTAAAGTTGTCAGATTTCCAATTTCTGTTAAATATGGTTACCCAAGTATCCTCCACCAGCTCCACTGAATTCAGCCTAAGCCAATGTAATCCAACCTATCCCAGCTTAACATGACTCAAACTCACCAAGCACAATGACCAGCATCTGGGTTGCCTTCTTCTCCCGCAGAGGCACTGCCCGAGGTTGCAGGGGCCCCAGCCTCAGGGATGTTGATAACCTGCCATTGCTGAGTTTTCGAACTTCTAGGCTGAGTTTAGGTGCCATGGTAGGGCTGAGAGAGTTCTGAGTCCTCCCTCCCCTTTTCAAGTCTCCCTCCGCTTCTTGGAATCCTGGTGTTCCCAAGGCAGTGTCTTGGCAGATGCTGTAGTAGCGTTTCAGCTCCACCTGTGTCTGGCCAGGGGAGAGGGGCTGTAGATGTAACAAGAGTGGGTCCTGACAGTTCTGGGGATATTGTTTATCTTCTGAATGTTCCTGAAAGGGAAACAGTGCAATGAAGGAAAAAGAAACCATCATTTTGTGAAACCTACAGAGGGTACCTCTGAGAGTGGTGGGCTCATGGGAAGTTATGGTAAACAAAAATCTGCTTGTGCCTTTACAACCAAAAGCACCTACCACATAAACATCTGGGAATCACAATAATCCCTTGAGGAGGGGAGCATAGAATTATAGCCTGGACTTTCTGAGGTAGAATGACCTGGATATACAGAGGAATATGTTAAATGACACCATTAGGATGTAAGGAGAAAAATCTGGAATATGGGAAACTACAAGACCAATGACTCAATTTCTTCAACAAATATATTGCAATGACAACAACAACACCTAATGGTGAAAAGTATGGGTCTTACTTGAATTTTGATGCAAATAAACAATCTATAAAAATTTACCTGACATTTGAGGAAATTTTGAATGAATATTTAATATTGTGTGTGTGTTAGTTGCTCAGTCGTATCTGACTCTTTGTGACCCCATGTACTGTAGCCTACCAGATTCCTCATACTGGAGTGCGTAGCCATTCCCTTCTCCAGGGGATCTTCCTGACCTAGGGATTGAACCCGGGTCTCCTACACTGCAGGCAGATTCTTAACCATACACTGCAGGCAGATTCCTCCACCAGGGAGGAATTATTATTAAATTTGTTAGTGTGATGTGGTATTGTGGTTATATGTTTTATAAAAGAGCCCATATCCTTTAGAGAGTCTTATAGCATATTTTTGGTTGAAATGCTATTACGTTTGAGATCTGCTTCACAACAATCCAGTGGGGGTGTATGAATGTAGATGGGCATGTAGTTGAAAGAAGACAGGGCCATGAGCTGATAATTGCTGAGCTTGGCTGATGGCTACTGAAGGCTTAGTTATATTTGTCTTTCTACTTTTTTACTTTGGAAATTTTCATTATCAAAAAGTTAAAAAAACCCAGGATTTTCATCTCAGCTTCCTACTACTTAGATGCATCCTTGGGTAAGTTAATTAAATGTCTCTGAGCCTCACTTATAAAACAGAAAAAAAATAAAAAGAAATAGGTTTGGGGTGAGCAGACTCAGAGTAGAAAACTGATGATATGCAGATATTTTGGGTATTTTGGAGGATGTGTGTGTGCTCAACAACAACACTTCTTTTCATGTTTGAAAACTCAGATACTGTGTTAATTTTGAGTAGAAGAAAGACTCCCCAACACCCATACTGAAGCCATGAAAATCAGATATTCACTCTCCCTGACCTCTCCACAGGGCAGCTAGAACTCTGGCACATGAACACATGAACCAAGCCCAGCCAACTGGAGATTTGCACCTACAACCTTGAAATTGCTCATGAAGCAAGACTTCAGAATTCATCTAGCAGTGGTGACAGTCAGTGTCCAGTGTCCTCACTGTTCTACCCAGATTCTTCCTTAGGCATGAACAGCATCTTCTGAAGCTGTTCTTTAGCCTTCTTGTTAAGCTTGAGCTCCTTGATATCCTTCCAGTAAATTCCTTTTTTACATGTTAGTCAGTGTCAACAACCAAGAACTTTCACTAGTATCTCCTTAGTTCAAGGAATCATAGTCTTCCAAATACTCAGGGGCAGTATACTACACACACTTAGAAACATTGCTGAATAAATGAATGAATGAATACAAGTGGCCTTCAAGATAATTTAGTGTTTTAGAAATTTCTCACAGAGGTGTTTGTAGGGATTCTATCATAATATGTTTTTTAAAATTTGGTTTTCATTTTGATAGAATTTTCTAATAATTAACATAAGGATATTGTGATTTATCTGGCTGACCATTTGTAAGATTATATTTATGACTGAGCTGACATCTAGTGATCTTCTAAAAGATGCATTATTTCTGAAACTAAAGGGCCAGGGACAAATTTCTGAGAGTGCTTATGAAATCTCACATTGGAGAACACTGATCTAATGCAGCTTGTCTCCCTTTCATAGATTTGGAAATTCAGTCCTACTGAAGGAAAGTGATTCTTCCCATTCTCACATTGGTGAGCATATTTTTCAGCCCTCTCTACAAACTTTCATCACTACCTCTCTGAGTGACATGAAGAAACACTGGACTCCTTGGGATCTGGCTGGCAGAGCCCTCCATTCCCAGATGGCAGGACAGAACCTAATTCTCCACACTCCAGACAATGCCAGCGTCTTGATCCTCCAATCTCTCCTATGTGGTCACTAATTTTCCTTCATTTGCCCTTGCAGCCTTCTCAGACCTTGGATTTGTTGTAGGTAACTTTAAACCTCCTATCTACTAAAAAAAAAAAATTATTTGCAGCAAGAGTCTGTAACTGGTAAAAATGGTCAGTTAACTATACAGATATTAAGAAAAGTAGCAAGAATACACAGAAGAACTATACAAAAAAGATCTTCATGACTCAGATAATCATGATGGTATGATCACTCACCTAGAGCCAGACAAAGTCTGGTGGGAATGCGAAGTCAAGTGGGCCTTAGGAAGCATCACTACGAACAAAGCTAGTGGATGTGATGGAATTCCAGTTGAGCTATTTCAAATCCTAAAGATGATGCTGTGAAAGTGCTGCACTCAATATGCCAGCAAATTTGGTAAACACATCAAGTGGCTGCAGGACTGGAAAAGGTCAGTTTTCATTCCAATCCCAAAGAAAGGCAATGCCAAAGAATGTTCAAACTACCACACAATTGCACTCATCTCACACACTAGCAAAGTAATGCTCAAAATTCTCCAAGCCAAGCTTCAACAGTATGTGAACCAAGAACTTCCAGATGTTCAANTAGTCATGTATGGGTGTGAGAATTGGACTATGAAGAATACTGAGTGCTGAAGAATTGACGTTTTTGAACTGTGGTGTTTGAGAAGACTCTTTTTTTTTTCCCCACTCTTGAGAGTCCCTTGGACTGCAAGGAGATCCAACCAGTCCATCTTAAAGGAAATCAGTCCTGAATATTCATTGGAAGGATTGATGCTGAAGCTGAAACTCCAATACTTTGGCCACCTGATGCTGAGAGCTGACTCACTTGAAAAAACCCGGATCCTGGGAAATATTGAAGGTGAGAGGAGAAGGGGACAACAGAGGATGGGATGGTTGGATGGCATCACCAACTCCACGGACATGAGTTTGATTAAACTCTGGGAGTTGGTGATGGACAGGGAGGCCTGGCGTGCTGCAGTCCATGGGGTTGCAAAGAGTCGGACATGACAGAGTAACTGAACTATACAGAGATTAAACAAGGCTCTGTCATTCATCATTATGGGTTTTTGAAGCTTTATTCCCAATATTTACTTAGCTGTGGAGTTTAAGGAGAGGGATACTGGTCTTTTATCCAACATTTTTAGGCTCCATTTGGCACTTGGCTTGCTTGGGGAGTCAGGGCTGGTTTGAATGGGAAGGATAAGAATTAGGGCAACTATGAGAATGTCTTGGTTTTCCCCATATTGGATGGCAATTGGGCACATGAAATTATCCCATTAGCCTCCTTTTTCTACTTTTCTTAGCTCTGCCCATATCTGGTTCAGTGATGTGCTTTCCCTCTAATGGACGTGGTTCTGGACAGTAAAGTCCACAATACATCCAAGAGTCACTGGCTTCAGTCATTGGGATCTATCCCAAGAGTCACATGCTTTTGGAATATCACTTGATAATGCCTATTCTGAAGCTCAAATTAGATAGGTTCTCAAGTTTGTCATTTATCATAAATCCAAGTATGAGACTGGGGCCAAATTCATTTTGGGGTGGAAGTGGGATTGAGTTAAGCCATTGTCTTGAGAAAGGGTCTCTTATTCTTTTCCTACAACCAAAGGCATGGCTTACTTACCATTTTCCGCGTGGCATCTGATGGAAATCTGGCCCTTATTGAAAACTGCCGAATGGGGTGTAACTGTAGACACGCAGACTAGGGTGTGTTGAAAGAGAAACAGTTGTGTGTTAAGCTCTATATAGTTGGCTCATATAGATGATGCTATATGAATACAACATGTTCATATCCTCAGTCTTGGGTCCTGACATCCTATTTCATGGGGGCCAATATTCCTTTTCCACCGAAGCTTTGGGACTTACAGTTTGAGATTCTGATTCTCACTCAAGTCATTACAGGTTGATCTAGATGTCCAGTTTGGACCTACCTTCAAGATCAAACCCAGTTCTTACTATATGAAGCCCTTTCCTGAGCATCATATTGACTTTATCTTCTCATAACCTCTCCAGCATTTAATATTTATGTGCTTAGTTGCCTTCATCTCACTTTGGCAAACATTCTATTCAGTTTCGGCTGCTCATTAATTTTGGGTGCAGGTGTGTTTTATTTAGTTATATAAGGTTTTAAACTCCATGAAGGTAGAGGCTGTATAATATCCCTGCTATCTCTTGCTTAGCAGTTGCAAGTGATAGGTATATATCCATTCATGCTTCAAATGAATACACTTGAACCATGTACTAGGCACTGGAGTAAGCAGAATTTACATCCCAAGCAATTGGAGTATTTCAATGAACTTCCTTTTCAGAGCCTCAAAAGATCTAATAAAATGTGCCATCAGCATCCCATTCCACCAGCTGGTTAGTGCCTTGACACAGAGGCAGATTTAGAAAGGAAAAGAAGTTTCAACAGACCCCTAGTAATTCTTGATGTGAATGGTCTGGCCAAGAAGTCATTCCTGGAAACCCAGCAGCAGTGAATGGTAAAGCTGCTACACTAAAACTTCGTACCTGTGTGATATCTGAACAGCTGCCATTTGAGGGCAATGAAAGACTTTGAAAGGAAGCAGAACAAGCCCAGAAAGGGTGCTCTAGGGAAGACTATCAATGCACTGAGATTGGATTTCCTCCATCTAAGGCCCAGCCAATATCTGCAGGTTAAAAGGTGGCAGATGTGTGTCCCTGATGGGCATAACAGGCAAAAGCGTGCACTGCTGGACACAGGCCGGGAGGCTGTGTCTTCCTTCTGCTGCTCCAGGATGCTCACCTGTTGGGGGAAGCCGGGTCTGATACTGAGGCACTGACTATTCTGTCGAGTGAGGATCCGCTTCCGTCTCCTCTGTCTCAACACCACGTAGATCCTGGCATAGACGAGGACAGTCACTCCGAAGGGCAGGTAGAAGGACACCACTGAAGAGTAGAGGACAAAGTCAGGGTTGGAGATGGAGCAGATGCTGGGGTCTCCTGTGAGTGAGAGAAGTGGAGAAAGCAAAGTAGTTGGTCAAGTACGGGATTCAGTGGGGAGCACAGAATACAGCCCCACATCACATGTGGTGTCTCCACCATCAAATCCACAATGGAAGTTTGAGAAGTGCTGGGAGCCAGTCCCACCTCCTCTCTCATCATGTCCTAGCTTACATGCTGCCTCCTCTGAGGGGGCTACCTGCCTCGAGTTTCTCAGTCAGAAGCAGCTCTACTTCCTTTGTGCCCCACAGTCCTTTATTGTCATCACTTTTGTGTAATTAGCACTCATGGCCTGATTGTTAAGCTGTGGGGGAAGGGTCCCATCTCAGACACCCACATTGTCCGCTTGTACTCCATAGGCAGTCTAATTCATCTTTTTTTTTAATATATTTATTTTTTAATTGGAGGGAAATGGCTTGACAATGTTGTGTTGGTTTCTGCTATACAACAACACAAATCAGCCATGATTATATTAATATATGTATCTCCTCCCTCTTAAGCCTCCCTCCCATCCCCCATCACACCCCTCTTCCCTGTGTTATATAACAACTTCTCACCAGCTATCTATTTTACACTTGGTAGTGTATATATGTTGATGCTGCTTTCTCTGTTCATCTTACTCTTTCCTTCCCCAACTGTGTCCACAAGTCTGTTCTATTTATCTGTTTCTCCATTTCTTGTCTGCAAATAGGTCCATCAATGCCATTTTTCTAGATTCCATGCTGCTGCTGCTAAGTCACTTCAGTCATGTCCGACTCTGTGAGACCCCATCCCTGGGATTCTCTAGGCAAGAAACACTGGAGTGGGTTGCTATTTCCTTCTCCAATGCATAAAAGTGAAAAGTGAAAGTGAAGTCGCTCAGTAGTGTCTGACTCTTCGCGACCCCATGGACTGCAGCCCACCAGGCTCCTCCGTCCATGGGATTTTCCAGGCAAGAGTACTGGAGTGGGGTGCCATTGCCTTCTCTG